CACACTACCTAAATTAATGTTCTTCAAAGAAGGTTATATCAGCATATGTTTTATGACTGACATTCTCTTGGATCTTCAACGGACAGTGTTTGACGTAACATGGAACATACTTCTCTAGTAATTTCTTTAAATTTTTTATGAGATGAGTGGGTTTACTAGGATTCTAAGCAATCATGGAGGTTTCATGAAATTTAGCATAGCTTTGATGTGGTTGAGAGATTTTGATAAACCTTAGTTTTCAGACAACTGGATTTAGCACACTGTTTTAAAAAACCTCTGCCTAGTCCGCTTAGGCGTACGCCTAGTCCGCTTAGGCGTACGCCTAGGCCTAGGCGGTACCTAGGCCGCCTAACTAGCGCCTAGCGCCCGTACGCCTAGGCCTAGGCGGTACCTAGGCCGCCTAACTAGCGCCTAGCGCCTAGGCGGTATTTAGGCTACCCACTTAGATTTTACGTGCGTTTAGGGGAGCATTGTCTGCTTACGTGGATTGCACCATGTAGGTCTTGATTGTGATTTTATGTGTCGTAGCCTACACGTCCTCCAAACTCCATTAACCTCCAAATATGAACACCTCCACTACCTCCTCCGAACTTCAGTAAAACCTCATCGACCACCACTTAAATGGAGAAAGAAAAAAACGCCCAGAAACCGCTTAGGCGTTCGCCTAGGCGATTAAGCGCTGAGCGCCAATTCCGACGCCTAGAAGCACCTAGCGTTTAATGTAACATTGATTTAGCATAAGTTTAATTAAAATTGTTTAACTGGATTCAGATCAATTCATATTCACCATTAGGCTAACACTCTCTTCTGTTAACTGCCAAACCCCACTTGTCCATGGGGGTGATTTGAAGGGGGAAACATGCATAGAGGTAAAATGAAAGCATAGAGGTAAAATGAAAAGATTCATTGCTAAATGTGTGCAAGCACAATGCATGTGAGACAAGAAGAAAAGGAGAGTGCACGGAATATGTGTAATAAATATTACATATCTTTCAAACTAAATAATGGCCTAATTTTTGTTTTCTAAAGGTTGCAACCTGCAAATACCACCGTTCGAGATCAAATTGAAGCGGGTCAAGGGACCAAATCCAATGATCTAGTCATGGATATTGAACTGTATAAAGTTCAGAACATAGTGGAAACTCATAGATGTTACCCAGCAGATCATTTCTCCTGCCTTCTAGATAATAGATGATGCATCTCCAAATCACCTTGGATGTGAATGAAGTTGACTGTTGTTGTTGCAAAATATACATCCTTGGATGCAAATCTAGTTGATTTCCATTGATAGAAAGTATATCCATACCAACAGTTTCTCTAGGTCTACCATCTTTGAAAGTAATATCAACAAGTTAAATGTAAATGGCACAACAAGAACCACGACCATGTCGGATTCATTTCAGTTACATGCGCGCTCAACTATGCTTCAAATGAAAGCAAGTAAAAGTGATACTGTTCAAGTGAAGAAGTGCTACTTTATGTGTTATGTTTTAACTTAAACTATACATTGAGTTTATGATACAAGTGAAGAAGTGCTACTTTATGTGTTATGTTTTAACTTAAACTATACATTGGGTTTATGTGGTTTGCGAGACAGAGCTATTAGCATTGAATGCAAATAGCAGAACAACTTACTTGATGAAGGCACTTTAGCCTCTCTTGGAGAAATGGATGCTGATTTCCTTGTTGATAGCCTTGACTCTTGAGATACCTTATTGCCCTCCTTATCTACAGTCCCATTGAATTTCAGAAAAATATTACTGTGTGATCATGAAAATAACTAATTTTCAACTTGTTAGAGTTAGAAAACAGAAATCTTGTATGCAAAGATGTTTCTTTGACTTAGTTAAGTCTAGATCACGCTATTAACAACAACACAAGTGCTTGCTTTGAATCCTATTATTGAGGAGAACCATGTACTAATCTCAATTTGAGGCAAGAGCCATTTTGAAACATGAACAAATTCTTCTCATTCGAATTCAATATTTGGCAATTCATATGAAAAATCCACTTCATTCAAGTTGATAACATCCTTTAAAACATTGTTGGGAAAAAAAACAGTTATGTAATTCGTTATTTCATGTTTTGTAACGTAATGAACCATAAACCTTATATAACCTTTTGAATTAACTCAGACGCATCTCTACATTATTACAATAAAAATATAGGGGTTCTTGCGTATGTACCCCTCAAGTCTTTCATATTTGCAAAATTGCCATCCCCAAAAAAAATCTTGATATTTGCAAAGTTACCCCCAATTCTCACACATTGAAATTTTCTATCCCTACCACAACAGTCTTAATTTCCAAATGGATACCAAAAATATAAAACAGAGATTATTTCAATATAATTTACTTCATTTCAGTATATTATGCGCTACTTCAACATAACTCAGTAACTTACATGGTTTCAATATAATTTATTCTAGAGTATATTATTTTTAAAACTTAAAAGTGATTAAGTATTTGCTTTTGAAATCATGTTTAATTGAGGCTTGAATAGATCTTTAGAAATATATTTTCTAGGTATCATTTAGAAGAAAGATGAAGAAAAGTGCAAATCCTTTTCATATAAAAAAGAGAGGGTTTATTCAAAAAAGCCAGCCACAGGTGGTTTCAGCCTTAAGTCTTTAGATCATTTAGTTGACGGCTGGATATAAGCCACATCATCAACACATTATGTATATGTATGTATTGATATCTGAACATACACAATGTTTCAGATAGTATGCTTTATACATTGTCCACAACCCCCTTGCATTATGGTCGTACTTGCTGATAACATCTTACTGAAACATTGACCAACTTCTTGATTAACGATGCAGTTAGGTTTGCTTGTCCACGAAAGGGAAGATTATGTGGAAACTCTGAATTTCTAAAATGACCCCTCTTGTACAATTAAACCCTGCAGTTGACAAACCTTGAGGCAAACTACAGTAATTTATATGGAGTTATTACTAGTGTAAGAAGGAAAATTTTGGGGAATATGACTTTGGATCATGTGAACATCATATGACCGGGTTGAATAGAACAACTAACTGCACCACTTAAGTGACAGAAGGTAACAAATACTCTGTAGTAAAGAAGATATCTGCAGACACCCCAACAATGCAGGTGGTTACCTGCAGACTATAGATATCTTCCTCCTACACAAATATCAAATACAGAAACCTATATAAATTTAAAAATTAGATTTCAGCAACATTATCTTGCAAGGAACAGTAACTTAAAATGTTCCTGTACCAGGCCGGTGAAAGACTGATAAAGAGTCTGACATGATAGATAATCAGAATTTTGCCCATGCGCTAATAAAATTGGGATCACATGTCAAATAATATCAAATTAATATCAATGTAAAAGTACATTAGTGAATAAGTTTTGAAGTAATAAATAATGCATAATAGTATCAAAGCCTACCGTCAGTAGAAGGCTTCCCATATTTGCTCCTCATAGCTTCAAGGAACACGTTGCTCCTATGATCTCGCGTCACTATTAGATGATAAACAAAAATGAGCTGCTAAATGGACATGGAAAACTTGGATGTATATTCTATGATCTTAGAAATATGGAAGCATACACTGCTCGAAGAGTTCATATCTGTAATTGGGAGAAGAGCCAACTAAGAGTAGCTGGACTGCTTCTGCGTCCCTATTTGTAAAAAGATTAGCGGCACTGTTTAAGTTTTCTGTATCTAACAGAATACCTGCAAGCTGAAACGAGACTAAAGCTAAGCGATGTGAAGCTATAGTTATAGGCCAGTTAAACAGAAGAGCAGAGATCATTACCAGAAGCTTTTTCAAGTTCGGAGCCTGGAGTAAACTGTATGCATCTTCACAATAGTTATCAGTTAGAACTGTGCACTGCGATCCTACCTGCACAAAAAAATAAAATAAAAAGTAAAATAAAATAAAATAGAAACTAAAGCATGTATAAGATCTCAACAATAAAAAAGAAGTTTAAGCTTAAACTGAAAATACCTCCCCATTTGTTTTCAGAACATCTTGCCCTACGACCAGTATGCTTAATTTCTTAGCCATTAGTAGACCCTCCAAATCAACCTGAAGCATAATCAGAATTGGAATAAGAAATTATAAAAGTACATAAATTTTGTCTCTTCCAGAAATCTAAATAATCAAACGACCATGTACGCCACGTTGAAAATTTTAACTTCTCTTACAGAACGTCCAAAAAATGAAAATACCTTTCATGGACAAAAGAAATCATTTCTGCAGAACTGCACAATATCAGATCAAAGAATATGAACAGAAAGCTTTTTCTCAGAAATCAAAAACTGAAATGTACCAAAAGAAACAATGAGCAAAAGGAATTGCATCCTGCAAATGTTTTCTGTCAGGTGAAAGGCAACGTTAAAGGCCTCAATAAAAAGGAAGAAGAGAAGCTTCTACATCTGAAAATAATTTGTAAACCGTATAATTTTAAGGCTTTGCCCGATTGACCAATTGATGAGGAGCGCATAGCCTCAGGGTTCTGCTAGCTGATCACACAAATACATCGTGAATATAAAATAATATAATGCAAAGCTAAAGGCCTCAACAAGAAGGAAGAAGAGAAGCGTCTACATCTGAAAATAATTTATAAGCCATATAATTTTAAGGCTTTGCACGACTGACCAGTTGATGAGGCCCGCACAGCCTCAGGATTCTGCTAGCTGATCACACAAATGTCGTGGATAAAAAATAATATAATGCAGTGTTAAAGGCCTCAACGAAAAGGGGCCTCAACGAAAAGGAAGAAGAGAAGCTTCTGCATCCGAAAATAATTTATAAACCATATAATTTTAAGGCTTCACTGATCAATTGGTAAGGCACGCATAGCCTCAGGATTCTGTTAGCTGATCACACAAATACGTCGTGGATGTAAAATAATATAATGCAGTGTTAAAGGCCGCAATGAAAAGGAAGAAGAGAAGCTTCTACATCTGAAAATAATTTATAAATCATATAATTTTAAGGCTTTGCATGACTGACCAACCGATGAGGCCCGCATAGCCTCAGGGTTCTGCTAGCTGATCACACAAATACGTTGTGGATATAAAATAATATATGTCTATAGCATGAATCCATGCCATTGTATTGAGATGGTTTCATAAAACGGTAAAGTAGAGGTACTACAAAAATTAAAATTATAAAAAATAATATTTACGAGAAAAATCATTAGTATCCATCGTCCCTTATCAATAAATAGGGATAAATACACAAATAAAAATTATTCATGCATCAGACCTTCTCATAGCCTTTGAAACATCTAGGATATGTTACAAACAGTAGGTTATATCAAAAGAAGCACCCAACTCATGCCCTAAGCTTTCAAGTATCATATGTGTAATAAACGAGTGATTCTCTCAGTTTCATGTAATTAAACACTCAACCTACATGCAGGCTATATGAAAAGTAAACTGGGGTGCCTTTGCATATGCGCCCTTTTAGTATAAGCATTTTGCTCGTCTATACCCATAACACTCTGTCCAATTAGTCAAGTCTAGATAAACACTAGTTTACTATTAAATTAAATATGTATATATTACTTTTAAGACTTTAAACTTAATTTTGTAATTTTTATAGAAGATGGTGAAAATGAAGTCTTAAATTTTGGGAGGAACTTAACTGAGAAGTCATGTATGATTATACAGTAATGTAGACTGATATGAAAAATGTTAATTTTGGAGACCCCACAATTACTCTGCAACTTCAAGCTTTGGCCAGAAAGAAGTATCCAATATGATCCCACAGACGAGCCACACCAAATATCAAGAAATTGATGTTCTAAACTAGCTCCCTAACAAACTAACTGAAGAGTCAAGACTAAGATACTACTAATTTACCCGACTGCAATCACTCTCCCTTCGGGTCCTCATATACTCCAAGGATGCACTGATACTCCCCTCTTCCTGTAGATTTCCCATCTGAGTTTGACGATTTCTCCTAAATAACACTTGATACTAAAGAATCCACCATTTTCATGAATATACTGTTGCTACTCACATAAAATGTCAAGCTTTACCGTCACAACATTTCTAATAAAGAACCTTACGAGCTTAAAAATCGTCCACAAAGAATGTGATGCAAATTAATCCATACAGATTACATCTCAAAACTAAACAACAAGGGTACCTCATCGGCGAAAAGCAAAGCCGAAGCATCGATCCCCAAGTGATAAAAGAGCCAAGCAGCCTTCTTATGCTTCCACATCTTCCCTCTCCTCATATTCACCACCGGCACAACCGTGGTGCTCTCCTTCTTCTTCTCACTGTTCTCCAGCAGCCAAGCATAGCATACAGCCGCAATAATCGAGCTCGTAGTACCTACAACCAAAAAGAAAATTACCAAAGAAATCACACACAAAATGATAAAATCACGTCTCAAAGTAAAGAAAAGAACCGGTTTTTATTTTCAATTGCCCTAACTTGTAGAGGACGACGATCCAGACAGAACGATCTGAGCCCTAGCCGTTCGCTCCCCCGTGGCGATCCTCTCGACTGCATCCCTCTGCCTATTCAAGAACCTATTGATCTCCTTCACGTCGAGGCAGGCGGCCGTGCGACTCGGAGAGAGAGCGATTGATCGACGGACGCCGGTCGTCAAGAGAGCAGGTGGAGGACGAGACTGAGCGGCGTGGCGCGGACTGGACGAGCGTTCCGCGGCGGCGAGAGAAAACCGGCCGGCGGTTCTTCCCTCGCCGGCGAGGCATCTCGAAAGTTCTTCGAGGGGGGTCGGGGCCTTGTTGCTGCTGCTGGAAGCGGGATTTGCGGGTGCTTTGAGTGATTTTGGCGGAGAGGAGGGAGGGGATGGGGTGCGGTAGCGGGTTCGGGTCGGTGCTTGCTCTGTCGCGGCTTGGCGGGGCTTGAGGGGTTGAGGACGTTGGAGAACCACTGCGTGGACGGCGGAGGAGGCCGGGGTTTGGACGCGATGGCACAATGGAGCCGACGGGCTGGTGCTTTTGAGGAGGATCTCGTTGCTGATGCTCTCCGCGGACCTCTGCCTGTGCTCAGATCAAAATCAGGTAAGGTCTTGATATTTGGGCCCTAAACTGTTCAAATTTTGAAATGAGACTATAGAATCATCGGAATTGCTATCAGGCTCTCAGAGATGAGAATCAAATTAAACGGCTTACAAGAACTAGGGCATCTTGTACAAATTTTGGACAAATTTTAAAAACCATCCTATTTGAGAAAATAATTGCAAAAGTCGACATATTCATAAAATATTTGTGAAAACCGATCTAGTTTCAGCCGTCGGGCTAAAACTGGGACGATTTTGAAGAAAATTCTTTTAAATTTTTTTTTTGTACATATTCATAAAATATTTGTGAAAACCGATCTAGTTTCGGAACATATTTTGTCAAAACCGACATATAATTTCAGCCAGACGACTGAAACTAGGTCGGATTTGACAAAAAATTTTAGAATAAGTCGGAATTTGCGATTTTTTTTTGTGAATAGGAGGGTTTTCAAAATTTGCCCATAAATTTTACTAATTTGATCGATTAATTTCGGAAGAGGGTATAAAAATTGCAGAAACTAGTAGCGATTATATCAATCAATCGAGGGAGTAATTTCAGAACATCAGAACGACAAGAGGCTAAACGAGAGACCTCCCTAAAAATATACACTCTATATATGCATAGCGCATACACGCATAATAATACATACGTAACATACCCCTTCAAGGCTAAATGTTTTTTCAGCCCCGCTAACTATTAAAACAAGAAAGAGGTTTACCCACGTACGTACCTTCTTGCAGACCTTGACAGCGGATCCCTCCGATCAATCATTCCGGGCAGTGGTTCCCTAACACCCCCCGACGCAAACCTCGGCGACCCAATAAACCTCGCAGGCGACCCCGCCCTCGACGGTGAATCCGCCACCATCCTCTTATCTTGCGTAAGCCTGCCCGTGCTGCGCCTACCCGTGCTAACTTCACCGTTGGTGCTCTCATCGTCTTTCTTCTTCTCCTTCGTCTTCTTACCTTCTCCTTTTAAATCATGCTCTCTGTGTTCCTTTTTCGCCGTGGTCCCGTAGAACCAATCGTCCATCATAAAGGCAGCGAGGTCTGGCCTAGCCTCCATCTGAATATTCATCGAAACGTATAATTTTATCGTCGATCACTAGCGTATTCAATTAAAGTTCGACGCAAGGAGGAGAGAGTTTGGCGATGTCTGTTACCGCAGCCATGAGATCGACCCGTGGCGCGAGGGCAAGGAGGAGGGACGGCTTGGTAACTGTAATGGACTACGAAAATTTAACATATATATGTATATATAATTGGAGGAACAAGGGGCCGGCCGGCTCTTTCTTTGTTCGGTGTGGTGTTTTTACGTCCGTACTGTTTGGACGTTGAGGGGAGATGGGAGCAATGCGGTACGAGTGTACGTTTGTGGGACGGTCGTTATCTTAGTGCTTCAACTTTATCCACCAATGAGTCGAAGACTTTAGTGTGTGAGTTCAATTTTAGGCCCACCACATATTTGCTCTAACGCAACGGTTTATAACGGTCGCATTAGCATCTAAACCGTTGCAGTTGCACAAGCGCAGCGGTTAACAAACTGTCTTCATTGCTGCCATTGCCCTAGCCATAAGGCAACGGTTGCAAAACCTAACGCAACGGTTTCTAAGACAATGCTAAAGCAACGTTGTTCACAAAATGCAACGTTTTCTCTGTAGCGGTTTACTGATTCCTAATGTAGCGGTTTCATACACAAAGGCAACAGTTATTGCAAATGCAACAGTTGCAACGATGGTTTCTTGATACCTAAATGTCGCGGTTTCGTACACAAGGGCAACAGTTTTTCCAAAATCAGGGACCAAATGCAACATTTATTTTGTAGCTAATGCGACGTTTTGCTTTGCTATGGCAACAATTTTATAGGGCTACGGCAACAGTTTTACAAGGTTATATCAGCACTTTTCAAGAAATTTGACCAATAAGCAAACACAGTTACGTAAACCAAAATAAAAATGGAATAAGAACACACTACATTAAGATATCATCAAAATAAAAAATAATGAAGCATTCATATGTTTTAAGCACATCATTCAAAAATAAGTAGTTACAAGATAACTTCAACCCATCAAAATATGATCAATTCACAACCATCAAAATATATGATCAATTCAAAAGTGCAAGTCTGTTCCATAAGATTCATATATCAAAGCCATCTTGAGCGTATTCTCCTATTTAATTAAGTCTTTATATCCCCTGCAAAAATAAAAAAACGTATCAAATATCATGTTAGCAACAAACTAAAAAGATAATTTTTTTAAACTAACCATTACAAGGGGAAAAAAGCTCAAGTAACATTGGTAAATAAGGAGACAACTGATCCTCAGATGGCTATAGTTTCTCTTTTATATTAAAAAAGAGAGAGAAAATCACTCACCTACATCAAAACCTCTTCCATTTGAGCAAAATAGTGGTTACAGTTTCTTCAAAGTCCAAAGCATGATCCTCAGATTCACAATTTACTACAAAGATAAAATATTGTTTAAACATCTGAGTCTCTCTTTCAATGAGCTATTAACAGAAGAGCAAATAACCCAAATGCTAGTTGTAACTTATTCGAATTGCATTGGCATCTCCTTATGCCTACTACCCTCTTAGCTGCTGGCATGTTCACCTGTCTACATTTCTTGTTCGAAGAAAGGAAAAGCAAGAGGAAACAGGAAGCTCATCAAGTCAGGACACTATCATGATCTTTTCCTTTTTTTTTTAAATTTTATTTTGAATTTTTCTATCGATCAATTGTAACCTTACTAAAATTTTGACATGGGAATATTAGATGAGTTGTAACTTCATTTAGCAGGATAAGTTAGCAATATATATAGGAAAATGATAAAATAAAAGAATGTAATGAAATCAAAAGAAAGTAAATACCTCTCCTTTTCCAAAAATAAGCCTAGAAGTCCAGATAACATTTTCCCCAATCTCTTGTAAAGCAGGAAATAGGACATGTTTTTGTTTCTTCAACCAACACTGAAGTCAAGCAAGCAATCAGAAGATGTCATCTGATATGTGATGAGCAATGAAGCATACTCAGATAGCAATATTTATCATGCTTTGTACACCAAGTACATGTTATCAAAGGATTGCAAAAAAAAAAACTCAGATAGCAATATTTATCATGCTTTGTACACCAAGTACATGTTATCAAAGGATTGCAAAAAAAAAAAAACTAGGTCTTTCAACAGAAAGAAGTTAAATACTTATATGACCATTTTTACAAAATTGCCCATAGAATCCCACATGCAAACCCCGAATTTCCCATAACCCATCTCCTCAAAAATAATCTATACATCCAAGTATTATGAACTATGTGACACGATGGAGAAAACTAAATGCTCTGTGCCACAGCTCACTAAAATTCCATCATGTGAAGTTATCAATTAATGGAGAACCAATAAAAAGTAGCATGAGGCCATAAAAACGAGCTTTTAAGCCAGAAATCGGCGATATTAATAGGAATCAGCATCTCTCCATATGGCTTTTCGGGAATTGCCTCTCTCCATATGGCTAGATAATCATCAAATGTCTCGTTGCTTAGACCATGGATGCACTTGTGAAGATACAACCGGATGATAAAAGAGAGTTTAGAAAAAGTTTTACATCCCGAAAACAACTGATGCTTACCTTCATCAACTAACTTATAAAATTTCTTTGCCTCCTTCGTTAACCTTTCTTCATGGTCACTTAGGTCATCTTCTTGGTTCACTGGAGACTCTTCTGCTATATCTCTAAATACATCATGCAATAACCCATCCAGGTTGTCTTGAGCATCATCAGCAACATCATCAGGTTCTTCATTATTATCATCAACTTCTTCATTATTATCATCAACATCCATCCTTGATGACACACCCTCTCCGTGAAAGAACCAGTCATAATAATTCTCCACAAATCCTTTGACAATAAGGTGATCATAAACAACATCACGACTATACAAAAAATGATTATAGCAAATGCGACAAGGGCAACATATTTCATCCCCTACTGCTCCATTAGCAAATGCTCTCTCAAGAAAGTCATTGACATTATTAATGAACTCCATACTCACTCTAGGAGCATTATACATCCAATCTCTGTTTTCTGCATTTATTATATGTCCGGAGAAAGAAAAAATTGATTAACACTATTAATAACTACATATAAATATTATGATTAATAAAATGTAAAAATCGATCCTCTTGTTGCCATTAATAACAATATATTTAATCAACATTCTTAGGACATGAAGTATATCTAAGGACTCCTTTTCATTAGATTGTATCCTATATAAGCCGATTTCTTTTATATTAGCAGTTACATTGCAAGTCCCATAGGATATAAAAAGAAAAAGTGAACCAATGTGGGTGGACATATCACGAAGAGGGCTTTGTACACTCTGAGCAAAAGTTAACAAGCTGAGAGATAAGTTAACAATGATTCTCTACAGCTAATAGAGACCTAACTTCCTATATTTCTAGAGAAATTGTTCATTCAGAGCAACCAAGTTACT